TTGACTTATTGCTTAAATTCTAACACTTGAATGTGAAAAGAAACCTTCTTTGTGTAAGATTTCCATGACGTTTTTCCTTTTCTCTTTTACTCAATTTCCTCATTTCTCGTGCTAACAACCTGATAACATTTAAATATGTTTTTTCTAATGCTATAATCTAAAATACTAGTAGAAAATAAAAACCAATGCAATACTCAGTTTCGAGGATGATTATGTTTAACTTTGAGTAGAAAATAATTTGTCATGAGACTAATTATAATTCCATTTTGATACGTTTTAACATTGTTTATTAATAACTTTGATGATAGTAGATTATAGAAAATTTCTTTATTAATATTGTCTAGAAAAATGCTAAAAACCAGTTTGTAATATGAACATAAGATATATTTTCTAATTTGTTTTTTATTAATTTTTTTTTTTTCATATAAAAATTTTGAACAAATGTATCGAATAAATCTATATTTCATACCATTCTCAATCTGGCCTATTCGTAGGCTATTGGTTTTGAATATTGAGAATATCTCAAAACGTGAAAGTCTATTGCTTCTTAAATTGTCAATGAATGATAAGCTAAATATTAACGAATAATCTATTTTAGTTGCATATGTTTAATATCATCTGAATAGTTTATATTGTTAAAGATACATTTTTAGTAGAGACTAAGTTCATCAAATGGACGTTCAAAGTAAATAAATAGTGTCATATTAACGTTGAAAACCGATACAGATGATAGGATCTTGAAATATTTTTAGGTACAAACCGATTGTATATGAAAATTGTGGTATCATAGAATCAAATAAATCAATTTTTTAAAAGTTAGTTATAGGCGATTCATATCACAAATGTTCTTGAATAAATTATTTTAATTTCATAGTTAAAAGTATTTATATTATCAATCGAATATAATTTTTCTATGGTTTCAAAAAAAAAAAAAAAATTAAAATATTAATTTTAACCAATGTAAAGTCTGATAAGCATGAACTGATGAAATATTAATGAAATTTTTTATTATTATAATAAATCTGAATGTGTTTATTCAGTAATAAACAATGAACATTCATTGATGTGAGAATGATACGAAGAAAACTGAGTTGATTATTATCCTTTTATCATTCACACACGATAAACTTCATATCTAAATCAGACATAAATGAATGGACCGGAAAAACTTGCTTTGTTCTTTATCATTTTATGAAGCATAAGCATCGTATTTTTTGTTGGCATTTTCTCATTTAAAAATAGGAGCTTTTTTTCAGGTTACAATCTTTTACAGTTGTAATCAAAACCTAATATTTTGTCTCTAATTATATCTTGTTTTCGACTATCGAGAATTCTTCTGTTTTGTATAAAAAGAAATAAATTTATTATCACTAATAAATAATGCAATTGTACTCAAAAGTGAACTTAGTTTTAAAAATAATGAAATTCTTCATATGATATATATTTTATTCTCAAAACTGACTTGAATTAAATAATGTTATGATTTTCAAATAAAAAGTCATAAAGAATCAGTTTCTGATTCCACAGTTCTTCATCTATTTTATTGTACTATTATCCATGAAATGATGAGAGTAATTAAGATTGACATATCAATATGAATATGCAAGCAGAGCAAAGTTCTATATATTTTTTTTTAATTTGTGAGAGATAACTGAAATTTAGCTTCTGTAAAATAAAAAATTACCAAGAGTATCATGAAATACTTTTTTTTCCGGTAGAATTTTTCATGTCGTGATGATGATTAGAGGAGAACAATGAATATATTAGGAAAATGCATTACATACATTAGCTAATGTTCTCATTTCATGTGTGTCAAATAGTGTAAAAATATTATTTATGCAATATTAATACGGACCCGTCGGATACCTAGATTTGTTTATAGTGATAAATCAGGTTTCAAATTAATTCATATCTTTCGTTTTTTTTCTTTCTTTTTAATCGAAGATAGTTATTTGATTCCAATAGAATACATACTCTTTAATGAACAAAAGTTTTTCATTGTTTTTTTGTGATATTAGATCTATGATGATGCAATGGCTGAAATAAAGCATAAAAACAGAAATCGACAAATGAAAGATATGAGAATAAGAAACAAATTGGTAGGTAAATCTTAAAATGCCCAGGTGAGAACAATCCAAAAGTAAGATTCATAATAGATTCTGACACATTCCTATAGGATCTTATCATTGGATTGCTTGTCTTGGGTCATTTCTGCAAATTTACATTAAAACTTAAACTAAGTTGCATATTGGATTCAACAATATTTTCTTGTCTGATCATAAAAAATCATATTATTGAATTTTATTGTATTGCTTTATCCATTTAAACTAATTCTTATAGCTTAGAACTTTCGTTTTTAGAAGTTATTCAAGCATTTGTTTCAATTTACTTCGACTCTATATATTACTTTTTAATACTATGAACATACATATCTAATCAATATTTATGTTTGTTCTTGCATGATTTGTTATAGTTATATCCTTAGTAAATTTGTAGCCGGGTGAAAAAGGATCAGACGTAGGGTTCCATAGCATCAGATGGAATCATACGAAAAGTCGTAGTGTCTAAAATTTTACGCTGAATCATATTATAAAAATTCTTGAAAGACCTGACGGTCACATAAGATTTCTAATAATCTTATAGTGATATTTTACAAGGCAGCAATATCTTTCAAGAACCTCATAATACAACTTAGCATAAGATGTTATAACTTTCTTGTAGTTTTTTTCTGATCTTACAAGATCATAAGTGATCAAAGATACAATATTATACGATTTTACTATTGTTATTGTTGGACCAGCCGTTGTAATAAAAAGTTATCTGAAAAATTGATTGTGAATCAATTATAATCAATGTAAACTACACAAAATTGGATTAAAATTCTACCGCTTATTATCACACACAATTGCTTTGAAATGGTATTGTGCACGATTTTAAATGGGTTTTAACCAAAAATAGTGAAAACAATCGATGAAGTTTTGATATTTTTGATTATTGGTTAATTGTAATCGATTAAACATCGGTTTTTTTGTGAGATTTTTATGAAGTATTTTTTACTTACATAATTGTGTATAGTATTACTGTTTCACTACAATACTATCCTTCAAAGTCTGGCTTTTTGGTCGTGTCTCTTTACTATTATGTATCATTATTTAGTGTTACTTATCTATGCCGTAGTCGATAGATGTTGATTCGGTAAAACTTTTATGCAGTATGACCTAAAAGGTGGGCACAGTATAGAAATAGACATTAAAACTTAGCTTCCCTCTGCTTGTCACAGACGTGACAGACAGATTAGCAATGGTTCATCACAAATATGAGACACGCCTTAGTAACGCTCTTTCACCGAGCATCACAGATCGTATATGAATAACGTCTGGTTATAATATATGAACTAATTCCTTATCGTAGTACTTGAGGATCAAGTAAAAGAATAGTGAAGAAATGTGTCCCAAAATAGAACAAATAAAATAATCTCCTTGTGATGAACAACAGCAGCTACATTGTGTCTTACATCTTAGTCTCACAGAAATTGCGCTAATAGCACTGATATGTTGGTTTTGGTTTGTTTGATAATCAACTAAATATTCTTTTCTTTTCGGTTTAAAATATAGGATATAAAACTAAGTGAAATCTTCAATTTTTCAACTAATTCGACTTGTGATGCACCATTATTATCGCTTTAATCATTGATTAAGTGAATCTTTTCATCTACTGTCAGCTGATACTATGATGTCATTGCTATTCCTGATATGTACAATTATAATAAACAATGAATTATGGTTTTAGTGTATCATCCAGATATGTGGAATAAGAGTGGCAATAAAAAGTCCACATGTGTTCATTTGCATGAAGTCAAAATATCAGTTGGAACCGTAAATACAATATTCAAGGTCAGAGTGGGAAAAAGAAGCATAGTTAGGAATTTTCCAAAAGGCGTGCCTGACTTCTTATAGGGCAGAGTGCACACCAACAGAAACTAATTTTATGTTTCGAAAAAAGATTTCTATCTGTACTCTTATCGAGATGATGTTTGACTCCAGGGGTTTAAAAACACCTCTTTCATTTCTCTCCCTCCTGGCTAGGTCTCTGGTAGAAAGGTATCCATCTATGAGAAATATTCAATAGTAAAGATTTCATTGTATTTGAAATTTTGATTTCGAAATATATCAGGAGATAAAGGCTTAATACAATCAGTTAGGTACATGATTATTCCTGATATCTACTCATCATTACTTTTCATGATTTTGTCCACTAATTATCAATACATATCGGTTAAAAACATAACGTTGTCGATATTTTGATTATAAAAATAATGAATCGAATTCTACGCCTCGTGTAAATTAATTTTTCTGCCATTCAAATTCTCAAAAGAGCAAGATCTATGTACAAAAATTGGTTGAAATTTTTTAAAATATAAAATATATTCAAATAACACATAACAAGTTTCTATTTGGACACTAATATTAACTAAATAAAATTCTAAAGGAAGTACAAAGCAAAAACAAAACGAAAGCAACGCTATACTGTACCAGATAATAAAAAACATAAAAAACTAATAACTATTCGATTAAATAACATAACACTAGTACATGTATATATAATAAATTTATTCTAATTTTACGATCATACTTTTTAAGGACTATTAAATAGAGTGAAAACTACATGCAATTATTATATTTCTAACTATATGTTAAATAATTTTTACAATCATATTTTACAACTTGTGACGTATCTTTCTCATTAAGCGGTACCTTTTTCCAACAACACGTAGGCATACAAGGCATGTGCAGTAACATCATATGAAAAAATCATGATAAATGAAAACGATAATTTTTTTGGGTCTCCATCCACATTTATTTTCTTACCTTGTGTGTTTTGTACATTTTTCTTTCGTTCGTTTTCACCTTAAATTACTTTTATAAACAACATTATTTCTTACGCCTACTAGATCATTTTTTTCACGAGTATCGAGTTTTCCTGCTTTTCGTATTACACCAATGGGTCTACGAGAATCCACCTTAATGAGTTCTGGTATGATATTTGCTTGATAGTGCTTATTGATTTATTTGAAGAAAAAAACTTTTTTTCTATAAAGCGGAAGCTGAAAATCAGCCTAATGGTTGGTATTACATTATCAAAACAATAATGTTGGAAGGTCGCAGAGTTCCTATCCATAAAGATCACTATAAGTTTCGTAAAGAAGTTGGCTCTGGTGCCTTTGGCGCTGTTTATTCTGCTCGTTGTGTTTCAAATAGTAAGTTAAGAATTTTTTTTTATTGACATCAATGAAGACTTTTTTCCGTACAGATAAGCCAGTAGCTATCAAAGTAGTGTCGCTTGCCACGCTGAATAGTGCAGAAACAGAAGTGCTTATTAAATCAGTTCTTACTGAAATCGAAATGTCTAATCGTTTATCACGAGCATCCAGACATGTAGTGCACATGTATGATTTTGACTTTGATCAACAAACAGGTCTTGCTTTTCTTGTTATGGAACTTGGTAAACATAATTTAGAAGAAGAACTAAAAGCACAATCTCACCTCTCACATGATGCAAGAAAACAAATATGGCGACAATTAGTTAAAATTGCACTTGTTCTTCATGAGAACAATATTGTACTTTAACTATTATGGTGTTGTTGTCTCCTTAAGATATTTTTGTTATTTTTTTAACAGGTACATCTTGACATAAAGCCTGAAAATCTTATTGTATTTCCTGATAATAGAATCAAATTAGTTGATCTCGGTATCGCTCAAAAAGCATATCGACATAGGTAAACATCTTTCATATTCTTTGTTTTTATAGTATCTTAAGATGTAGAAATTAAGTCTCTGCGATTATTTGTAGGGTTGGAAGTAATGGTACATGGTTATATTCAGCACCTGAAGTAAGATTGGCTTCAAGAGATCATGTGGCATTGAACACATCAAAATCAGATGTTTGGTCATGGGGTGCTGTTCTCTATCGTATGACTTATCACATACCACCTAGTTATAAAACGCCCTGCCATCATCCACCTAAAAATCAACATAAATCACGAGATCCTGATCTTCTCGATGTACTTCGACATACACTAGTTCTTGATCCAAGAAAAAGAGTAGATCCGTCATGGCTTGATGGACATCCGTATACGAGAAAACGTTGAAAAAAATTTTCTATCTCATTCAAATATTGCCCCTATGAATTTTGAATAAAAACAGTAGATCAATTCCGTGCAATTAAAATAGTACAAATATATTTATATAGTTCATTTTATTGTTTTTCATTATAATAATCCTGTTGAGGGACACAGATAGCAGTATATGTTCATGATTCAATAGTTTATATCATACAAAATCCTTTATATTGAAGAGAAAAATGTGGAAGAAAGCTTAATTAGATTTTGATGACATGCCATAGTATTATTAGAAAGAAGATAAACCTATATAATAATATACAATACTTTTCTTTTCAACTCTACTAAGAAGACTTTCAGCTAAATCTAAAGAATAATCTATATTTTTTTTCTTCGTTTTTTTTTCTTCTGAAAAAATGTAGAATTAATTGAAGCATATCTTTTTAAAATAATTTATTGTATTCTATCGAATTGCGTTGAAATGTTGATTATTCTTGTTAATTTCAGAAAAATATATTTGATAGAGAGTAGACATGCATTTCTTTTATTCTCATATTCTAAAAATAAATACTTAATACGAAGATTTGTTTTAATCTGACACGAACATGTTTTTTTTTCTTCAATAAAATGACTTTTGGATAGTCTTGATGCTATTTGTAAACTGATCAATCGTATCAACATGAACCAGTTAATCTGAGTTTTTCACAAACGGTATCGGTGCTGATCTGAATAGATCAAATTCAGTAGAACCGAAGAGTCAATCTAAAATCCATACTGATACTGACCTGACGAATTGTCGTACTATTTCATTTGTCGATAGTGATATTTGGTGTAGTCAAGTTTCAACACAATTTCATTACACATCGTCTATGAAATATAACGAGCAAAACAAATAATAAGACACACTAGTAACAACCGAAAAATGAGTTCATCTAAAATCCGTACTGTTATTAGTTTCATCTCAAGAAAAAAATCCATTTGTTTCAACGTCTTTGATATCAACAAAATTCGAGAAAGAAACTTGACATTTAAGCTATATATCAAAGTTTTAATAAAATCCTCTGCACAAATTCTGATGATTATAATTTCTTGTTTATTTTTTGTTTCTTTTTTGAAAAACAAAAATAACTTTTTCCTGTTTAAAATGAATAAATAGAACAAAAAAAAAATTAAATTAAATTAAAAAAAACAAATTTCAATAATAATCACAGTCGATTAATAGAAAGACAATGTCATTCATATAGTCTATCTGACAAAATGAAAATATCAAAATTAATTTAAAATATTTTTCACCGGTTTTTTTTTAATAACTTTTTTTAATAGATGATGACATTGATGATGATTTACTCTAGAAGATTCTTTTATTTGACATAATTTCAATACAGGACATTTTCTAGATTCACTAACAATAATTTCATCAAATTTAAATTTAAATTGTTTATCATGAAATGCAATAGCACGTGATAAACATAATGATGCATTATGCGTCATCTTATGAAATGATATTAAATGTGAATAAATATTTGTATTATATGTATAACCCGAACATAAACGTGTACCATGTTCATATTGAATACCATAAACACCATAAGTAGTTAAAGGACATTTTTTAATTAATGAATAACGTGGTGTTGTACGAAGAATATTTTTTGTATTATGTGAATTAAATAATATTGGACATGGTAATGAATAACCATGAAGAAGAAGATGAGATATAAGAAGAGATGATGATGAAAGATTTAAATTATGAGATGATGTTAAATGTTGCCAAAGTGGACGAGACGGAATATGATTTCGATCATCAACAAATATATCTCGACAAGGAAAATGAGAAAGACCATGATGCATATCAAGACCAAATGAAGATGACAAAGAATATAATGGACATGGACCAATAAAAGATAAAATTTCACTTTCAGTTGGCTTCAAAGAATCAAATAAAATAAATCTTTACAAAAATTAATAATTAAACAAGAACTTACCGGAGAATCAATAGATTTTGTAGGTCTACGAAATAAAAAATAAAAACAAATATTTTCTTGATTTAATGATAAATCATTTTAAAATTTAATTGAAAAATCATATATACTGTCGGTAAAAAAAAATGTCGGATATGGTTTTTATGTATTCAAGATTAGCAAAAAATTTGATTTTTCTCTTTAGTTTTTTCACAATTATTTTCCATTCTTTTTATCAAATAGATTTTATATTATAATTTCTGTTATATCTTAAATTAATGAAAATAAATATATTTTATCTTGTTTTCATTAAGAATTCAGTAGGTTTTCAAAACGTGATTTCATCAAAAGGAAAGAAGTTATTTTATTCGACAGTCCAATAAAAAATGTTTTTAATGTAACTGGAATGAATAACGCAAGAATAGTTTTGGATGAGTTCAGTGATCTATCTTAGTTTTATAAATTCTCTGTCAACTAAATTTTGTTCAAGATAAACTTTGACATCGATAAGTTTTTTGACAGATTTCTTACAAGCCATATAGATGTTGTGTTTTAACATCATTGTCAAAATTAATTTCTCAGTATCAGAATATGAAATTGACTTGAATAGTTTTTTTTCTTATTTAAAGAGCAAAGTTTCGATGATATTCTATGAGGATGAGCTACTATTTCTATAATCGATATTCCGTTTTTGATATTATTTAAATGCTGCTAGATATTCCATTAGACTTCGAAGAAATGTAATGATTTCTCCGATGTTTATCCTTTCAAACAGAAGAAGACTAAACTCAATCTGATTTAATATTGATGTAAATTCGGCATAGTATATTTGCGAGAGGAAAAACACCAAATACTTCAGTCTTGAAGTCTTGTAAAATCATAAGAACTTTGTTTAAATCGTTGAGCTACAATTTCTAATATATCTGTTGAAGTCTTCTAAAGTCATCTGAAATCTTTCGAAGTGTAATAAATATTAGAAGTCTCTATGCTTGGAGTTTCATGAAACCTGCTGTATCCTCCGTTGCATAGTAGTTTCTAAGATATTTCTAATTACATACCGATATTTAGCAGCAAGAGCAGCCATTGTTTGTGTAATCAAGTGGTCATTATTCATTTGCATTACTTCTACAACACTTTCCGGTTGATAAAAAGTGACATTAACATTTCTAAAAGGAAAAAAGTTTTAATATAAAAGAACGAGATCAAAACAGTTGTAACATACTGAGTTGTATTGAATAGATTATGTAAATTAGGTGGACAATTACATTGATTCAATGATTGAATAATATTACCTTTAAAAATTCTTTTAGTTTTTAATTTCTTTTATTAAAAAAAGTATTTTACCTTTTTGAAAATTATTTTCACTAGACATATTTTCTACTTCGTTGTCATCATCATTTTCTTCTTCTTCTTCTTCATCTTCACTCAGTTCGCTTGAACTAAATTCTTCTTCATTCTCCGAATCAATTATAACTTCAGTATTCTCATCATTAATAACTAACATAAGAGAAACAAAAAACATTGAAATTATATAATTTTTTTTATTCAAGTCAAAAAAAATAATAACAACTTACTACAATGTTGTTCAACTTTTTGTGACTTATTCGACTTGTTGTTAATAAATTGCGAATGAGATGGATCTATTGATGAATTACAGTTTTCGAAATTATTTTCAAGCATTCGATCTAAAACTTATTAAATAAAAGTCACTGTTTCTATTTATTCTGTAAAAATATCAAGTAAAAAAACAACAGACAAAAAGAACAGAACACTGTGCGATCAATTACAAAGCATAACAAGAAAAAAAAAAAGGAACGTTTATTTCATCGTTTGCCAATCATATGAAATATTATTTGCATGTTGTAATGATGGTATAGGTGGTGTTTTCAATGTCCATTGTCCATCGGATGGATTTCTTTCACATAATTGTAAACCTAAATAAGAAACTTTTCTAATAACACTATTAAAATCTGAATAAGATCGAGGTGGAAGTGAACATAATTGACGTGTGCAAACTTCAAGGGTGGCGGCATGACCAATAAAAAATATATTAGCACCTTAAAGAAAATATATAGTCTTTAAGAAAAACTAATTTCTAATTTTTTTTTTCGTTTTTCTTTACCAGTCAATTTATGTTTATCAGTTATTTGTTGTGTAACTTTAAATGACCGATTATAATAATCTGTATATTTTTCATCTCGAGATAATTTTTCTAATGGAATAATTGGTCGATAATTTTTATCAATATTGTATAATTTACTTTCTTCTTCTTCATTAATACTCATATCGGTTGGATTAAAAAAAGATGGTAAGCCACGTTCATACCAACCCAAAAATTCAAATAAACCAGGTTCAATACGAATTTTTACTCGATCTTCAACTCCCATGCCTGAAAATGATTTATCAATTCTTCTTTTTTTTTTACTTCATTCTATCTTAAAAAAATACCTTGAAGAATATAATGTGCTGTTTGAATACATCGAAGTGATGGTGATGAATAACAATATTGTGCAAGAGATTCATTTGCCGCTAATGCTTCACCAGTTAATCGAGCTTGACTCGCACCGATTTCAGTAATAGGAGAATCGGCAATAAAATCACGAAACGGATTACGACGATGTGGTAAAGATAATGGCATATTTAAATTTATTCGATGATAATTTCCTTTAACATTAAAATAAATTTATTTTAAATAAACAAAACAAACAAAAAATGACAATACCAGCTTTATCAAAAGCTAATTCAGGCCAAGATGGACCAAATGCAAAATCAACTCGTTCACCATGACGAATACAAAATAGACGAATTAGACCTGGATTAGATGTTGGAGATAATAAATCTAATCGACTATTCTAAAAAAACAAAAGTTCTTTGAAAAAAAGAACTAAATTAAATGGAGAAAGATAATTTACTGTAACGTTCAATTTTGATATTGTATTTGTTTTTCTTGTAAAATTTCGAACTTCAGTTAATCTATTGGACGACTTTTCATCATTTGGTGATGAAATATTGCCTTCTGAGAGATCCATTGAATTTGTTGAAGAATTTTCATTTATTAAAGATGCTGACCTTTAATATAAAAAAAAAAAAGAATATATCCGTTGAACTATAGATTCACCTTTATGTACTTTTGTAAAGTCCATGCATCTGTTTCAGATGTTTTTCTCAGATTTTTTAATGGATATACTCCTTCTTCACCTGTTGTATGAGAACGACCTAAAAATAAATATAAATCAAATATTTAACTATTTAATATAGAACAGAAATTTCTTTAAAAAGAAAATCTCATAGACTAGAATAATAATGAATAATTAAAACGATTTATCTTAATGGACGTGTATATTATTGATTTGGTAGAATTGTTTTAGTCTACCTTGATTGATAATAAGTTGTATAAGTTCTAATTGATGTTGTCGTTGTTCTCGATGAATTCTTTCTTCACGTTCTTGATCATTACGTTTTTGTTCATTAATAAATGACATAAAACGTTGTTCAGATTGTTGTTGTGCAAGAAGAAATTTATTAAAAATTGATTGAAGAACATCATCAATAAGATAAGCTTGATGTTTATATGGTGACATAGATTTAATATAAACATCCATTTCATCTGTTGTTAATTGTTCTTGTTCATCGTTTGTTTCAATTGTTGTATGATTTGTATCATCATTTTGAACTATATTTGAATTTGTTCGAGTCGATTGAAGTATTGGATATGGATCTTCTGGTCGTTGAATATAATCAGGTGAAACATCATCAAGAAAATTTGGTTGTTCATCATCTTCATTCATCGACTGAAGAAGAAAAAAAAAAACTATTTCTTTAGCTAAATAAGAACAAAAAAAAAAAAAAGATTTCTTACCTCTTCATCATCATCAGTAATATCATCGGGTTCATTATTATTTATATTCGAAACAATTTCTCCTTCTTCATTCTCTGTTTTTAAATTAGTTTGTAATTTTTGTTGATATTGTTGTTGTTGTAATGAACGTCTTTTACTTCGTTGTCTTTTATATTTATGACCAAATAAGTAATGAAGATCATCATAGAAACGACAAGTCAATGTTGATTGTCCTTGTTCTTCATGTAGAGCACGAGCTTTTTTATATGAAAATTTTAAATTTTTGACACGACCACGTATTTGATTCCAATCACGATTAAAACCAGCTTGTTTAAGACGTTCAGCTATTTCATGATAGATTTCACGTGTTCGAACACTTTCAATAGCTTTAAATATTCGTTCATCTTTAAGTAAATCTAATAAAACACGTGTTTCATCCAAATCCCAAATTAATGCACGTTGATGAAAACGTCGAACCGGTTTTGATGTTAAAGATCCATTTGTTGTTGCGGAACTCGTTGTTGATTCTCGCGCAAGCATATCCAACATTATCTAGAACTCGTCTTCTTCTATCTTGAAACACACAACCTCAATATTGCCGACGCGACACTCACAAGCGCTTCACTCAAAAGCAAGAAAGAAAGAATGAGCCGACGCTACTAGTAGCACTCTACTCCAACTACTACTCTTACTCTTACGACTACTACTATTACTACTCGCTTGTTGTGCTATGATGCAGCTTGTGTGTGTGCGTCGTTTGCTTTTCTCTCCCTCTCCCTCTCTCTCTCTCTCTCTCTCTTCGTTCTCTCGTGTGCGTTGCACGCACATCCAGTAAAGAAGCATCGAAGGTGACTGTGTCTTGTGCCTTGCGCGTTGTTAGAGAAACGAAGAACATTTTATGCGCATGTAAGAGAGAAAGAGAAGAGTCTCTCAAAGGCCACACAAACACATAGATGCATGATGAAATATTCTTATTCTTTCTCTTGATAGATGATAGAGAAGAAAGCGAAAGAGCGAGAAGCAAAGATATATAACAGGAAAGAAGACAAAAGACAACTTAATTAAAGCTTACTCACCAAAGACATTTTCTTGTTCGCCTATTCGACCATTATCAAGTACCATAAACAGATCATTCGCTTTTAATAAAAGACATTTGTTAATCGTTGTATCTGTTGTTGATGAAACAACACGATATACAATCTAAAATAGCATAAAAAGAAAAGAAAAAGAAAAAAATATATTTTTTTTTTATTTAGTTCTGTAAAGAAAAGAACAAACTTCATTCATCGAAGACCTTTCACGCGAATATAATCGAAGATTCCAATTAACAGGACGATCTAATTCAATACAAAGTTCTGCAAGTTGTTTTAATGATACTCGTTGTTCAATTGAAAGATTAAATAAAGATGATAAACCATGAGTAAGAGTTAAATGAGTTACTTTTTTTGCTGGTATTATTGGAACATTTGGTACTAAAAAAAAACAAAAATCGAAATTTTAAAATAAAATTAATCTTATTTATTTTAACAAACCTATTAATTCAAATTGTTGTTTAATCATATCAAAAATAGTTTGAACTAATTTTTTACCTTCAATATCAGGCATAAGCATAAGATAATCATTTGTTATATATAAAACAACATGTAATAATTGTTTAAATAATCTATGATATTGTTCAATAACAGAATCAAATACTTTATGTAATTTATAAACATGTCGATCAGGTACCTATACAAAAAGAAGATAAGAAATTATCTGTTAATTAATTCTTATATAGAGAATATTTACATGAAAAAAACTAGATAATTTAAATGCACGTAAATATTGACGATCATTTAATGAATTTCCTTGAGCAAGATAACGAAATATTTCACTAGTAAATGTTCGAATTTGTTCATTAAGACGTTCATCAGGACAAAGAACAATAATAAATTCAGTTCGAATTAATCTATCATCATCTTGTCTTTGAAGAAGCCTAATATTTACAAAAATAAAAATAACAATAAAATTAAGTTTTGCTCTTTTTCATTGTTTACCTCTTACCAATCAGTAGCAGCTTGTACTGAACGAAAACCAGTTGCTACACATGCTCGTTCTCTAAATAAGAATAAAAAAAATTAAATAAAAAATATTCTAAAGAAATCTTTTAACTAACGCTTTTTCTTCTGGTATTCCAAGTTTATTAGTGAGTAATGTTAAACATGGTGATTGACATGATATTTGTTCTTCTTGATCATTATTATCAATTAGTGATGTCGACCATCGTTTGTTATTTTGATTATCTAGTTGTTGTCTTCTTACAGATATTCGTTGCATAGACATGGAAAGGTCGAAAAAAATTCACACTGATAAGGAATCAGCAGAAACTGTGAATAAATAATGAAAAGATATTGCGACAATGAAGCAACGAAAAACTAATGATGCATGTCGGGTTTTTTTTTTCTTTTTTTTTTTTTTTTTTTCGAGGTTTTTTTTTTGACTGCATCGATGAAAGTATAAGTAAAACATGATTTATATGATTCATATCAGTTGATGAAAGTAAAGATAAATGTTCTGTTTAGAATAATTACTAATTAAATAACATACTTGATTGTGTGGAAAATATCGAAGTCTGGAAACGAGAATAAGTATGCAATTCATTGAGTTCTTTTTTTCTTCTGAGTAAGAAGAACTAAAAAAATATTATCAATGAAGGAAACATAAATAAGTTAAATCATCAAAAAAAAAAAAAAAAAAAGGAAGTAGTTGTCAGACCATCCAATGTTTATGATAAGCAGAAACATACATTTAGTCATATACAATAGCGACTCAGAACAGATGTCACTTCTACTCAAATCATTGA